CTCAGAGCAACCCTGTCCCTGCGGGAGGCTGCGGCCCTGCCCCGAGAACCCCTTTCCGCGTGAGGGTTGCTTGCACAGGAACTAAAGCTGAGGCTGCGGCCGACCCAAGGCTGTAAGCAAATAATGCCTCAGTAACTGAAAAGAAGGACCGCCAGGCGGGCTGAGGACCACTTGTGCATGCATGCTGTGCTCGCGGCGGTTCCGGTGTAGCCTGAGGCAAGGTGTGGACCAGAGGACTACAGTGCTCTGGGCTAATTAATGCACAAGCGCGGATGCGAGCTTGTTGCGCGCAAGGCTGTTTTGCATCCGCTTCGGGGAGCTGGTCAGATCACTGAGTCTACAACATTCTCTCGCCACCTTGCGTGGGAGGGATGCAGGGTAATGCCTTCAGGCTGGCACAGCTGCCGCAGTGAGAAACTGAAGCGGGCTAGAGGCCTGGAGCGAAACCTATCAAGCTTGTCGCTGCTGAGCTCGTCGCCCAAACATTCTTTTTGCCTGAGACGTGGGAAACAAGTAGGGCTACGGAATGAGCATGTGACCAAGAGGCCACCAGGCGAAGAAAAAGGCTGAGCGGCCAGGCTGTGGAGAAGAGCTTGTTAACTCCGGCCTCAGTGGGCGTGTTGTCCGAGCCTGCGGGCATGGCAAAGGACAGGTATTTGTGTCCGAGGCGACTATGCGCCATCTGGAGCAAGTCGTCGTCTAACAGGGTCAAACCACTCACGGACTGGGCGTGAAGCTCTGCGGTGAGAGCGCCCTCCTTGATTGCCCTGATGCCCCGCTCTGCAACGGGAGCATGGCGACCAGGCTTGGTGCCTGTTGAGGTTCCGCCAATTACTTTGACAACTGCGTCAGCTATCGCTGCAACCAAAGGCTCGTTGTCGGGCACACAACTTCTACGTGGTTGAGTCCGAAACTCTTGAGGAATTTTACTAATCCGGCGACTGTTGCCGACCGGAATTCCCCGGTGTAGGTAGTAGGTAGTACTACACCCCACGCAGAACGTTTTTACGTGCACAACAGCGATCATCCGGACTGACTTGTACCAAAACTGATCGATCTGAACCTCATTGTCCTTCGGAGGGTCCGAGTGCCTTCTAGCTGGCACGTGGCTCCTTCCCCGAACGCACGATGGACACTGTGACCAGTAAGGAAAATGGCCTTGCCTAAGATGCTGGAGTCTCTGGTACTCGGTCACCTTTTCAGGAAACTCACCTGAGTACGACTCCAGATCTTTTCGGATGGCATCTTCCGAACTGATTGCAACTTCAGGCTCATGGCCCGAACCGTTTGCAACTTCAGGCTCATCGATAGCTTCTGGTTCGTCAATCATGGGAACATCATCGCTTCCTGCCATAACAACGCCCTTTTCCCAAGAAAGAAACTGCTTTCTCTAACTTGCCAGTACTGCCAGGGCGGTTCTTAGCCGTAACCAACGGATCAGAAGAGGCATCTTTCTCAGCCAGATGGCTGACTTCACGTGCCTTCTCATCATCTCCGCTGATATTTAGACCACAAGCAAGATCAACCGGCTCACCTAATGCAACACAACTCCAACATACTCTGACTGCTCACGCTGGCTCTCAAGCTCAAACTGGTCAAAATCAACACGCTTGGGCTCCGAAACTGACTGCTTCTGCTCAAACAACTCAACACAACCAACATGACATGTCTGCTCTTGCAAAACACTGTTCACAGGCGCGCATTCACTTGCAGTACGCGGGCCTACCCTGCACATAGCGCTGGTAACGTGATGCCTTTCGAAAACTGGACACCTGGCCTCGACAGACGGTTGAGGGTTGGAGCTTGAGGTAACTAAGGAGGCAGAGGCTAAAGAACCTTCTTTGGGGTCAAAAATAGACTTTCTTAGGGAACCATCGGGGGACCCTACATACGTAACCCGAGAGGACCTACGCTTGGGGGACCACAATCCAAACCCTTTTTGTGGGAAAACTGGCTGAGACGCACGCAGACTACACTGGCACTCTTCCGAAAGTTCGGGGGACCCTATAAAACCATCTTGGGGGCCTTCGGGGAAACCAGTATAAAACCCTTCTCTCGCATCCTCGGAGGACCCTTTAAAACCTTTGGGGTAACCTTCCGGGGACCCTTTTGGGGGATCTATATCTTTGAACCCTGGCTTCAACCCGGGCTTGGCAGCGCAGACGGCTCTCAGCAGAACCTGACTGTGGCTTTAAACCATAAAGGGCCCTTTGGGGTCTACTTTTGGGGAACTTAAAAACCTTGGTGAACATGTCTGCTGCACAACCGACACGACCGACACAACCTAACAAGCTACAACTCTGTGCAAGCTCTGTGTACTCTTTTTGCTCGTGCAGTCGTCCGGGGCAACACTGGAAAGCAAATTTGTGGCCGTGCTGGCCCGAAGAGTCAACCTCTAATCCCGATCCGAGTCGGAATGAATGATGACAGGAGCTTCCGTGGCGACTTTTGGCCTTGCTTTGACCTTCGGTCCAGGCTTTGGCACTATCGCAGCCACATTCTCTGGAAGTGCTGCTGGCCGAATCGGGCCGGAGGTCGCGGCAAAACCACTGTCCTGACCACTGGACGGAGGTCTCGGCCGTGCTCTCGGTGGCAATGCGCTTGATGCCGCTTGCTGGGCGGTTCGACGCGCCTCTTCTATTGCTGCGGGATCTATCAAGCCCAGCGATGCCTGTTGGCCAGTATTCAGGCTGCATGGCCCAAATTGAAACGCCATTTCGGCCAAAGGTAATAAGGCCGGGTACCCTCTCAGGCGATCCAGATCCTGGACGGTAACGCCTCGAAGGAAAATCCTTGCAGGCGGAGGCGAAAGAGTTGGCGGCGTAGGAGCCGCAGGCGGCAAAGGTGCCGCCTTCCGCTTCCCCCACGCCTCGTCGTGCGTTGACGGGGCAGAGCTTTTTGGGGGTGACTTCGGAGCTGCTTTCTCCGGAGTCTTTGGGATCTGCTGTCCGAGATCCGGTGTCTTCGGAGATTCGATGCTTTCCCCGGAGGTGCTTTCTCCGGCGTTTTGGGGCTTTCGCGTCCCAATTCTGCGATCTGATAGGCATTGCTGTTCTTCGGCAGCTGTGAGTACAACTGCTTCAGCGGAATGCCCTGCTGAGTGCTCGATCGCAGTGGTGCCTTGGGCACAGGGTTCGGAGATATCCCAAAACGATAAGCTCTCGCAGTCTGCGGGGGTGACGAAGGAGACGTAAAAGCCTTTGCTGGCGCTCGCTGCGGAGTCTTTGCAGCTGTAGGCTGCGGAGCCTTTGCAGGACAGGCTGTGAAGCCTCTGCAGGTACAGGCTGTGGAGCCTGCTGAAACTCCAGCAAATCTCGAGCAGTGCGGCACCGCCTGTCTCGCTTCTACTTCTAACCCCAACTCGAAGAGCTCTTGAGCATGGTCCGAAGGCTCCGGGTCCATCGGTGTGGTCACCGAATCTACCGTCTACCGCAGGATTGAACACCCGGCGGCCTCTCCTCACTCTCGGCTTCTTCTGCTTTTGAGGCCTCTTTGAGGCCTTTTTCTTCACCTTCAAGGCCCGTCCTCGCAGGCAGGGTAAAACCTTCGGAGCTGACGCAGGCAGGGCAGACGAAGAGGAAGGCTCGTTTGCCTGTGTCTCCTCCTCGGTGCTGTGGCGGGACTATTTTCAGTCCTTTCGGCACAGCTCTCTTCCCCATACTTCCAAACGAGGAAAAACAAGATTAAAAGTGCTAGCCGTGGCTTGAGCACTAGGTGCCGGATGCACAACTTCTCAACCAACCTAACCAACCCTATCATAGTTCTACCTAACCAAACCCCCACAACTTCAAGCAACCCAACCAACACGACCCGACTCAAGCAGATCAAGCGCAACAAGCTTTTACTTAGGACCCTACGTAATCTTCCAGGGGCCATGCTGGGCTGAAACATGTGGAGACTGTCACTCAAAGACGACACGCGGTCCTGCACTGCAAAACATGTCTTACACATAGCTGCGCAAACGCACCCTGGTAGAACTTCGGGGCTTAAACCAAGGGCCTTAAATTCTTTGGGGCAGTTACCTATAAGACATCCCTCACAACTGCACTCACAGACTGCACTCGTGACACTGGCTTGGGCTTGGCTGGCTTCAGGCTTCAAGGCTGGCTTGCTGGCTTTGAGTACTTTACTTAAAGGCTTCGCAGCTGTGGTTGTGGCTTCAGTGGTCTGAGCTCCAGGCCGTGACGACGGAGACGCGGGCACGAGGCTAGAACCCAGATTAGGGGGAATACTTACACCAAGATCCTTCATGGTTTCTATAGCATAGTCTTCCCTGGAGTCGATTGCATACACCCAGCTGCAGTTTGCATACAAATGCGTGGCCAACCGGGTCCCAGAATAGTTGAGGGTCATAAGGGGCCCTTATTCCCTATCTTCCAACCTCCGGCTCCTAGGGTCCCGGTGCTCACAATGGTCAAAGGGACCTTCTCAGAAACATAACCCTTGAGATGCACGCCTACAATCTCACCACCTTCCTGGTGGCCATGCAAAATGCAGGAGACTTCCTCGTCAACAACAAGTAATTCAGAGGTTGCTGCGCTAATCGAAACAGGGCTGTTAGACTTACCCCTACTTATATCACTGCGCAGCACTTGCTCAAGAACGCCTCGCTGGTGATCGTAACTGAAGCCCCACTGTCAAGTAGGACCCAATTGTCAAAATCAGCACTTGCAACGCTGCTACTGCTGCGAAAAGCTGCTCTCGCTCGTGCTATGTGGCGCCAGCCTACCCTTACCTTACGTGCTGGGGGGCTGCACACGTGTCGCAGAAAACCTTGCAACCGCCAAAACAACCAACTGACACAACACAACACAACAACCATGCACAACAAGAAAACCATGTCATGCATGCTCATGCCTTCAAAATAAAACTTTCGTGGCAAAAACTGGTCATGAAACTTCGCATCGCTCACTGCCATGGCATTGGCTCCCGGAATCAGCGACATGAGCACAGCGCTCTTCGTTCCAGTCTTGGATCCAGTCTTGCCATTTCCCTTCGCGGCACTACTCGCCTTCGGAGTAGCATTCGATGCTTGGCTCGGGGCTGATTCAGCTTCAGGCTCTTTTCCAGATGACTCATTCGCTGCGCTGGCCTTTGCTTGCTGGTCAGCTTTCTTTCGGGGCCCAGTGGCCTTTCTTGTGACAATAATTGCAGGTGTCTTGGGATTTATTCCTCGCTTGGGATTTATCCCTCGACTTGGACCTTCCACGTCCACCCTGCTTTCCTTTCCCCTTGCCTTTGGGCGTGTTTCGCCGCTTTCCAGCACCTTTCTGTCCACCCTTAGAGTCGCCTTTCTTGCCCTTGCCGTCTTTCCCCTTGCCATCTTTGCCTTTTCCGTCCTTGCCCTTTCCATCTTTGCCCTTGTGTTGGCCAGCAAAAGCGTTCAGGAACTTTCCGGGCTGGTGTTCCTTCTGGAAGGTCAAGACCCGCAACTGCTCATCATAGAACTGCAGACCTCGCATCATCGCGTCCAGACTTGAAGTTGTACCACGCAAAAGCAAGTATCTCTTCGCTTCTTCGTCCAGATGTCGCAGAACGGCGAGAATCGCCTCTTGTTCAGTGATTGCCAGCTCTGGAAAGCGCGGCTTGATCTGCGAGTCATACTTGAGGAGCTCCGTCGTACACCACCTCATCATGTCTAAGGCACGTGAAATGTGCTTAGGGGCGCGCAAGCTTAGGACTTGCTCTCTCAAAGCCTGTCCTTCCACTCTCGAGCGGACTGACAGTTCGTTGTTGAGCATCCTCCACAGCTCGTAGCCTGCAGAAGCGCCTTTCTGCTTCACCCCTATCAGCTGGACGAAGTCCTGTGCACGCTGGAACTTGCTCAGCGACTGTCGCAGTAAAAACCACAGTTTCGTGCTTCTGGCCGCTCTTCCAACTGACAAACCAATTTGACTCACCTCGACGTCGCTTGTAGCTGCTTCGCGCAACTCTTCTGCAAAACGGTCGTCAAGCAAACACAACCACGCTGTAAGTTCTTCTCTGTAGGCTGTCCAGATGCGGATCTCCGCACGCCTAGAGCTCATTCCCGCAAAGTTCAGCTGTGGAAGCTGCGGGATGTAGTTCTCTGCACGTTGGGACCTTATCACGGAGTCCACATCCATGGGCACAGGGTCAGAAGATGACGCTGCGGCCTCTCCTGAGCTGTCTGCAGCGCCAGCTGCAAGTGCCGCACTAGCAGCAGCGCTCTGTTGGGACTGCTGCGCTGTTGCAGTTGCCAACTTGATGGCGTCTTGCAACGTCTCACCCATTTGCTGGAGTTGGACTGCTTGCGCACGGAGCTGGTCGTCCTGCGCTTGAAGCGTCTGCCGCACAAGGGACTCCGAAGTCCTCCTGCACCATTGCCTTGAGCAACTGCA